TTTTTTTTGGGAGGAAGGGAGGAAGGCAGGGAAGGAGGAAGGAAGGGATGAAGGAAGGGAGGAAGGGAGGGAGGGGGGAGGGAGGGGGGAGGGAGGGAAGGGAAGGGAAGGAAGGAAATCAAGCAATGAGAGAGACATTGCCGACCTGGATCTAGAGGTTTACAAGTTGATTTCTTTTCTTTTTTTTTTTTTTCTTTTTTTTGAGAGAAGGAAAGAAAAAAAAAATGAGTAAAGGAGAGGAAGAAAGAGGAAGAGAAAGAGGGAGGGTGAATGGAAATATTGCTTTATTCTGAAAAAAAATGGGTATTAATAATGGGCAATCAATGTTTCATTTAAACCTATGAGTAGGTGTGATGTGGTATTGACAAGAATGTATATTTTGTGTATTTGAAGTGGAGAGCTCTATAAATATTTATTAAGTTTACTTGTTCCAGATACGAGTTCGAGTCCTTGATATCCTTATTAATATTCTGTCTCATTGAATCTAAGTCTCTATGTATCTGGGTGTTAGGATCGTTAGCTCTTGTTGATCCTTTTACCACTATATCTTTGTTGCTTTAAAATCTATTTTATCTGCTATGAGAATTGCAATTCCTGCTATTTATTTATTTATTTATTTTTGCTCTCCATTTGGTTGGTAAATCTTTCTCCATCCTTTTGTTTTGAGTCTTTGTGTATCCTTGCATGTGAAACAGGTCTGGATGTAACATGCCGTTGGGTTTTGGCTGTGTCTTTTGATTGGGGGATTTAGTTGATTTAAATTTAGGGTTACTGCCATTTGATGTTAACTGGCTGTTTTATCTATTCGTTGATGTAAATTCTTCTTTATGTTGATGCTCTTTACTTTTTGGTATATTTTTAGAAAGGCTAATACTGGTTGTTTCTTTCTGTGTGTAATGCTTCTTTCAGAAGCTCTTGTAAAGCAGGCCTGGTGGTAATAAAATCTCTGAGTACTTGCTTGTTCATAAAAGATTTTATTTTTCCTTCAGTTGTGAAGCTTAGTTTGGCTGGATATGAAATTCTGGGCTGAAGGTTCTGTTCTTTGAGGATGTTGAATATTGGCCCCCACTCTCTTCTGGCTTGTAGAGTTTCTGCTGAGAGATCGGCTGTAAGTCTGATAGGCTTGCCTTTGTGGGTAACCTGACCTTTCTCTCTGGCTGCCCTTAGTATTTTCTCCTTCATTTCAACCCTGGTGAATCTAACGATTATGTGCCTTGGGGTTGCTCTTCTTGAGGAATATCTTTGTGGTGTTCTCTGTATTACCTGGGGTTGAATATTGACCTGCTTTGCTAGTTCAGGAAAATTTTCCTGAATAATATCCTCAAGGGTATTTTCCAGCTTGGATTCATTCTCTCTGTCGCATTCAGGTACACCTATCAAACATAAATTTAGTCTTTTCACATAGTCCCACATTTCTTGGAGACTTTGCTCATTCCTTTTTATCCTTTTATCTCTTCTCTTGTCTTCTCATTTTATTTCATTAAGTTGGACTTTGACCTCTGATATCCTTTCTTCTGCTTGAACAATTCGAGTGTTTAAACCTGTGCATACTTCTTGGAGTTCCTGTATTGTATTCTTCAGTTCCATTAATTCACTTATATTCCTCTCTAAGTTGTCTGTTCTCGTTAACCTTTTTTCAGAGTTCTTAGTTTCTTTACATTGGGCTACAACATGTTCTTTTAACTCACAGAAGTTTCTTATTATCCATTCCCTGAAGCGTGATTCTGTTATTGGGATGTGCTTGTTCTCCTTCAAGCCTTGTTCCATTGTTGATGTGGAACTGTGATCATCTTTAGAGGGAGAGGCGTTCTGATTTTGAGTATTCTCAGCCTTTTTACCCTGGTTTCTTCCCATCATTGTAAATTTATTTTCCTGTCGTCTTTGAAATTACCAACTTTCAGATTAGGTCTCTTGAGTGGACGTCCAAGTTGTTAGTTCCCAGGGCCAGAACGGCGGTGTTAAGACTGATGGTGCTTTTCTTCCCAGGATTCTCCTGTTTGGCTTCCTTCTTGTGTCCGTAATGGGCGACTCTGCCTTCCCAGGGCTCCAAACCTCGGTCAGAAGGGGAACCAGTCTCGTTTACTCTGCGCCGAGAGCTGCCGCACTGAGGTGCTGTGACAGCCGCAGCGCCGGCCTCAGGAGTCATGCAGGGGACCCATGTGGGTCCTCCAAACCTCGGTCAGAAGGGGAGCCAGCCCTGTTTACTCCACTCCGAGAGCTGCCGCACCGAGGTGCTGGCGAAACCGCTGCGCCGGCCACAAGAGTCGCGCTGGCGACCTGTGTGACTCCTCCACTGGGGATCTTCTGGTCTGTGAGTGACCAGAATTTGTCTGAAAGTGTGGCGTCCTCTAGTTCTCTGCGCTTTCACTGAGAGCTGCAATCCTGAGATGTTATCGATCGGCCATCTTGGATCATTCCCCACAGTAACTTTTTTACATTATAAACTTTTTAACTTTTTGAGTCTTTTAATAACAGCTTAAAACACAAATATATTGTATAGCTGTACAAAAATTTTTTTTTCTTTTTTTTTTTTTATTTTGAGACAGAGTCTCATTCTTGCACCTAGGTTGTGATGCAGTGGTGCAATCTCAGCTCACTGCAACCTCCGCCTCCTGGGTTCAAGCGATTCTCCTGCCTCAGCCTCCCGAGTAGCTAAGACTATAGGCACATGCCACCACACCCAGCTAATTTTTGTATTTTTAGTAGAGATGGGGTTTCACCATGTTGGCCAGGATGGTCTCGATCTCTTGACCTCGTGATCCACTCACCTTGGCCTCCCAAAATGCTGGGATCACAGGCATGAGCCACCATGCCTGGCCATTTTCTTTGTTTTTATCTTTATTCTATGAGCTTTTTTCTATTTAAAAAACTTTTAAACCTATTTTTTTTTTTTTTTTTTACTTTTTAAACTTTTTTGTTAAAACCCTAGACATACACACACATTAGCCTAGGCCTACACAAGATCGGGATCATCAATGTCACTGTTTTCTGTCTCCATATCTTGTCCCACTGGAGGGTCTTCAGGGACAATAAGGTGCATGGAGCTGTCATCCTGTGATAACAATGCTTTCTCCTGAAATAACTCCTGAACGACTTGCCTGAGGCTGTTTTACAGTTAACTTTTTTGATAAGTAGGAGTACACTCTACAATAATGATAGGTATACTAAATACACAAATCAGTAACATAGTTTATTATGTTATCAAGTATTATGTACTTTACATAATCCTATATGCTATACTTTTTTATATGACTGGCAGTGCAGTAGGTTTGTTTACACCAGCTTCATCACAAACACATGAGTAATGCATTGTGCTTTATGATTTTACATTGGCTACAAGGTCACCAGGTGATAGGAATTTTTCAGCTCCTATGGGACCACTGTCATATATACAGTCTGCCATTGACCACAATGTCATTATGTGGCATATGACTGTACCACAATTTGTATCTCTTCTCTTTTTGGTAGATATTTGGATTGGTTCTAGTTTGGGGTTATTATGAATAAACTATTGTGACCCTTCTTATAGCTGTCTTTTTATACACATTTGTTTTTGTTTATTTTTATTTATTTATTTATTTTTGAACTCTGGATAGTTTTTGTTTATTTTTATTACACTTCTTATCTCTCTGGATTCCTGCATTTTTAGTTGTTTCAGTAAAAGAGTCACATTACCAGATGTGAAAATCCTATTTCTTAAAAGACCTCAGTTAATCCTTCTTTTATCAGATCTACCTCACACTCACCTCCAGGCTCAGCTGTCTTGGGACCCTTTGGCTCTTTTCACTTTTTTTTTTTTTTTTTTTTTTTTTGAGACACAGGGTCTCACCCTTTTGTCTAGGCTAGAGTACAGTGGCGTGATTAATCACTGCAGCCTTGAACTCCTGAGCTCAAGCAGTTTTTCCACCTCAGCCTCCCAAGGAGATGAGACCACAGGCACATGCCACCACATCTAGCAAATTTTTTGTAGCGATATGGTCTCACTGTGTTGCCCAGGCTGGTCTCAAACTCCTGGCTTTAAGTGATCCTCCTGCCTCAGCCTCTCAAAGTGCTATGATTACAGACATGAGCCACTGCGCCAACCTTTTTTTTAATCCAATCTTTTTTTACTTTTTACTACATTCTTTGGGCATGAATGTTGATGTAGAAGGTAACAAGCGGACTGTAAGGCACAAAACAGAAAGCAAGGCAAATGACCAGTGGTGCAACTATTCTAAATCCAGTGACGTACATACACACACACGCACGTACACACACACACACACACACACACACACACGCCCTTGCTAATATTTGCCCCACAGCTCCTTACACATATATGGTAAGAGGTACAAAGAATATGTGAGGCAACCAAATACAAAAAAAATGGAAGTACATACAAATGGGGAATTGTTTAGATTTTCTTTTCTGTTTTTTTGAGACAGAGTCTTGCTCTGTTGCCCAGGCTGGAGTGCAGTGGTACAATCTTGGCTCACTGTAACCTCTGCCTCCTGGGTTCAAGCAATTCTTCTGCCCCAGCCTCCCAAGTAGCTGGGACTATAGGCGTACACCACCATACCCGGCTAATTTTTGTATTCTTAGTAGAGATGGGGTTTCGCCATATTGGCCAGGCTGGTCTCACTCCTGACCTCATGATCCGCCCGCCTCAGCCTCCCAGAGTGCTGGGATTACAGGCATGAGCCACGGTACCCAGCCTAGATTTTCTTTTCAGTGCACAGTAGACAAAGTGCAAACTCTGTGCCTTAGCCTTTGGTCTGGGCCACTCTTCCAGTGGGCTCTGTTCTCACAGACTTTGGTCATGCAGTTTGGGTTGGCAGCTGCAGGGCACAGCCTTTTCTTGACCCTCCACCCTCTACCTCCCACAGCATTTCACCAGATTAGCTGCTGGGAATTCTGTTAGGAACCAGAGGCCAAGGTATAAAAGATGGAATAGGACACTGTTCTCTGACTTCTCTATCCCAGAGACTCTTGAAGCTCCTTTGATTCTTTGTCTCCCATAGTTTGTATCTACTTGAACAAGAATGGCAGCGCAGGCCCCCACTTAGATAAGAAGAAGATCCAGCAACTCCCTGACCATTTTGGACCAGCCCGTGCCTCTGTGGTGTTGCAGCAGGCTGTCCAGGCCTGTATCGACTGTGCTTATCACCAGAAAACTGTCTTCAGCTTCCTCAAGCAGGGCCATGGTGGTGAGGTTATCTCAGGTAAGCACGCTTTGGCTCGTATTGCCTCCCTGCCAGAAGGACCTACCTTCTCAACTGGTTGATTTCTTATAAGGCATCCTGGTTTCCACTTCATACCTGCAGGCTCTTGAAAAATGTGAAAGTATTCCATTCCTCATCTCCAACCCCCCGAGAACCCTTCTGAGCCTTATGCGAACCTCTCAACTGATTCCTCCCACTGTCTACCTGCTTGACTTTCCATACAGAAAGTATAGGCATATGTTGCTTTAAAGGCATTCCAGAAGAAAGAATCCAGAGGGGGCTATGTTGTGGCAGCCTGAGGGTTTCTCCAGACTGTTGCCCCCTCTCCCACCTGGTTTCAGGAACCAGTGAACTCTTCTCTCATTCCTTTGACTCCTTAGCTTCCTGGTCCTAAACCAGGCCCAATAGAAGAGAATTAAATCCCAGGGCAGGGTGGGAAAAGTCATTTTCTTTTTCTTTCCTTCTATGAGTTTGATTCAGTGGCACAGTGTTCTTTGCTCTCACATAATGCTCACTTTTTCTACTGTGCTCTGCTTCTGTTTCAGTTTTCCTAAATCCAAAATCCTGTTTAGCCACTAAACCTATGAAGGTTTGACCTAGAGCCTTTCAGTCTTCACTGATGCTATTCCATAATCCCTTGCCCTTCCTCCCTAGCAGGTTGTAATAATCAGCTTCAGGAACCCAGCTGGCATGGAAGACCCTTAAATAACCAGACTGTATTATTTTAGCAAACATGTATTGAACCCTTGCTATGTGTCTGGTGATTGCCAGACATTGGCCAGGAGAAGGGGAGAATAGAAGATGATAGCTTAGGCTCTGTACCAGTGAAAAAGAAAGAATATACATAGCTAACTATGAGAAGTGCTGTAATAGGGAAATGTGCACAGAGTGGTGTGGGAGCCCAGACTAGGGAGTAATTGGCTATGAGGAGGATGGAGCAGACAAGCAGGCAAATATTATAGAAGACTGGGAACTGGCCAGGCGCGGTGGCTCATGCCTGTAATCCCAGCACTTTGGGAGGCTGAGGCGGGTGGATCACCTCAGGTCAGGAGTTCAAGACCAGCCTGGCCAACATAGCAAACCCCAACTCTACTAAAAAAAAAAATACAAAAAATTAGCTGGGGTGGTGGTGCACACCTGTAGTCCTTGATACTCAGGAGACTAAGGCAAGAGAATCACTTGAACCTGGGAGGCAGAGGTTGCAGTGAGCTGAGATCATGCCACGGTACTCCAGCCTGGATGATAGAGCAAAACTCTGTCTCAAAAAACAAAGACGAAGCCTGGGAACTGCCTGGTAAGTTAAGCCTTATGTCCCTTCTGAGGCCCAGGCTACTCCCTGGTCTCTTCTTTGTTTCTGTGTGTGGTCTGGAGGAATCTGAGCTTCTTTACTGCCTCTCTTTAGCTGCCCTCACCTATACACTCTCTACGGTTCTTCTTCTCCCTCAAAACTGGTTCTTGAGAATTACCTGTCTTTCCAAATCCCCATATCCTTCCTTGCTGCCCTCAGAGACAGATGCACAGGTCTCGGTGTGATCTCAGTTCACTGCAGCCTCCACCTCCCGGGTTTAAGCAGTTCTCCTGCCTCAGCCTCCTGTCACCACACCCGCATGTCACCACACCCGCATAATTTTTCATATTTTTAATAGAAACAGGGTTTCACCGTGTGCACCAGAATGGTGCTGACCTCCTGACCTCGTGATCTGCCTGCCTCGGCCTCCCAAAGTTCTAGGATTACAGGCGTGAGCTACTGTGCCCAGCCTGGTCTTTGCTTTTTAAGGATTATACTGATATATTTTTATAGAAAAAGTGGTAGGAAGTAAACTTAACAGCAAGCATGAAACAGTTCTAAATGTTGCAAAAATTCTAGTGCCCTTACATAGATCAGATATTGTGTACCCAAACCATTGCTGGCTATGGCTGGATTCTTCTCTTCTGCCCAGCTTCTCTGTTCTTGGGCAATTCTTTTGAAAACAGTGCCCTAAATGAGCAGATTTCCTGGGGGAGTGATGGAGCAGATAGAATTATGTTCATAGTTGTTTTCACAGGTTGAATAAAATAATTCCAGAGCCCTGGGTGCAACAGACCTGGCCTGGCCACTCCCACATTTGCAAACCCTTTACAGTTGGAGGCAAAAATCAAAGGCCTCAAGGGAGGGAGTTAAAGGGAGGGAGGGAAGGAGGAAACGTGGGGCACTGATTCCCTTTGTGTAACCAGGTAAGCCTGAAACAAGCAGTGGGCTGGACTCCTCCTGCCCAGCGCTGTACTCCACTGCCAGGCTGACGTGCTTGGCCCTGTTTACTCACTCCACAGCCGTGTTTGACCGGGAACAGCATACCCTCAACCTCCCAGCAGTCAACAGCATCACCTACGTCCTCCGCTTCCTGGAGAAACTCTGCCACAACCTTCGTAGTGACAATCTGTTTGGCAACCAGCCCTTTACACAGACTCATTTGTCACTCACTGCCACAGAGTACAGCCACAGCCACGACAGGTACCTACCAGGTAGGAGTTGGGATGGGGCCTGGGCTGAGAGTCGGGACAGGGCTAGCAGCAGCACCTGCAGGTGCCAGCCTTCAGAAATATTGGCCTGGCACTTACTCTCCAGAGATCTGCTTTTCTGTCCCTTACCTTTGTCATATCTGAGAATTTTCAGTCTCCTCTCATCTTTACTTTTTCTTTAGGATTTTGTTTTCTGTCTCTAGGATTACCCCTATTTTTGGTCTAGATCCTTATCCCTAGATAAAAGGTGGTTCGCAATTCCCCTTCTGAGCTTCAGACTACATGTGGAGCAACCGTGAAGTCACAGAACGTCTTCCATTGTGAACCGGCAGCAAAGGCCTAACAAGATCTCCCTTGCCAGAAGGAAGGTTTAGTTTCAGGCTACAGATTGAGAAATTTGCTCCCTGGTGATTGGCCATCTACTTTTTCGTTTGGCACATGGCCCTAACTTCCAGCACTGCCAGTCTAGCAAGTCAATTCAAGTTCCTGCTATTTCTAACTAGGCTGGAAAATAACTTTCTTAGTTAACATACCAGACCCACAATGGGAAAGCAGATGCCACGTGGCCAGATCAGTGACTAAGTACTTCCGAGAGAGATTAAAGATTCAGTGGAACTCTGCCTCTCTCATCTGGAATCCGGGACACAGAACAAGGGAGGAAAGGAAAGCTCAGCCTTAAACATAGCAAGGTAGGTCGTTACTGAGAGGGAGGAAAGGCCCTTAAAAAATCCCTGCAGGGCCCGGCGCAGTGGCTCACGCCTGTAATCCCAGCACTTTGGGAGGCCGAGGCGGGTGGATCATGAGGTCAAGAGATCAAGACCATCCTGGTCAACATGGTGAAACCCCGTCTCTACTAAAAATGCAAAAAAAATTAGCTGGGCACGGTGGCATGTGCCCGTAATCCCAGCTACTCGGGAAGCTGAGGCAGGAGAATTGCCTGAACCCAGGAGGCAGAGGTTGCAGTGAGCCAAGATCACGCCATTGCACTTTAGCCTGGGTAACAAGAGCGAAACTGCGTCTCAAAAAAAAAAAAAAATCCCTGCAGACCGTGTCCTAAGCAGGGAAATAGAGAGGGGAGCTGCCAGCATGGTCACTGTGCTGTCTGTTGATAGGAGGACACAAGTCTGAAAGGTGTCTTTTCCAACCTTCCTCTATACAAACAAGTCTTATTCCCACGCTGCCTTCCATGGTGTCTTTTCATCACAGTCTTAACAGAATCACCTCTGATAAAAGCACTCCTTCCAGAAACTGTGCCCAGGGAAGTGACTGTTCACTCATTCCTCTTCCCCCTTTCCCTCACAGATACTTCTGTACCCAAATGCATATAGCTTATGTGACTTGCAAGCAGGTCCAAATGATACCTGAATTAAATACTCTCTGTGGAAGCCAGACCATCTGATCCCTGCAGCCATTTCTGTGATCCCCTGGCTGATCCTTTTCTGTGGAGGAAGCTTCTCTTCTAACCCGTGCTAGATTGCTTTCTTTCAGTACCAGAGTCTTTGAAAATAGAAAAAGGCATTCTGACTTACAGTTAGAATGTTGCACTGGGAGTCTGGACTGCTGGGCATGGTAGAGCTGGTACAGACAAAGGCAAGTTGTTAAATATCTCCAGTTGGGCATTCAGGAATTCTTATCTGCATTTCAGACCTGAAAGTTAGGGCTACCTGGGATTCTGAAAGAATGGATATGTGAATGGGGTAGCATATCCATGAGTGTAGCTGCTAGTTTAAAGAGATTTCTCAAAAGAAATAGGAACTCTGAATTCTTAAATGGAATGACATCATTAAGAAGTGAAAGAAATATACTGGTGGCAGCATTCAGAGAGTGGTAGGGATGTACCTCATGGGCCTGCAGTCCCAAAGGTGGTTTGGAACCCGGACATGACCTTTCCTGGGAATTCCTCTGATTCAGCTACTCAGTAAGAGGAAGCAAACTGTAGCCAGACTCTTCTTGCCTCACCAACTAAGAGAAACAAAGACCAAGGTATTACATTCTGCCATTGGCTGCTTCCTCTCCCTTCCCTATTTTCAGACAGATTGAGCCCACTCTTTGTGTCCTCCTCTGCTCTTAAGCTGTTTTTCATAGTGGGTGCTCAGCAACTTGTCTGCTGTCACTCCAGTTTCCGTTTGCTTCCCTGAAATTAGCCTTTAACTATGCCCAGACAAGCCATAATCCTGCCTAAACTTCTAAATCCTCTGTGCTTCTTAGTGTATCATTTCTGTTTGCCTGCCTGCCTACCTTCCTGCCTGCTTGCCTGCTTTACTGACCCTTTGCCCCACCTCTGATCTTATCATTTCCTGTGGTTTTCTGATTACTTACCCAAACCTCTGCCAAAGAGCACGATCTGTACAAAAGCTATCTTTTGCTTTGCCCTTTGGATCTGGTATTTACGACTCCTGCCCTTCCACCTGGCTACACACTTCTACTAGACATCCATAGGTACCACCTCTGTTACCTGGGTGCTTACTGGACCCTCTCCCTTTCCTATAGCCTTGTCTCCACACTACCCTACCACTTATGGTCCTGGCCCAACTGACCATGCACTTCTCATATAGCAGATAGTCTCCCAGAGCTCAGGTAGATTTCATATCCCTTTAAGCTTCAAACTTAAGTTGAGACTATTACTTTTTTCTCCAATGTTTTATTTAAAAAATTTCAAACCTACAGAAAAGGTACAAAAATAGAACAGTGAGCAAACATGAACTCTTTGCCTAGGTTTACCACTTAACTTTTTGCAGTATTTACTTCATCTGTTTCTCACATATATACACACACACACACACACACACACACACACACACACACACATAAATATATGTACTTGTTGAATATTTACATATTTAAAATATGGTTTTTGTTTATTGAACGATTTGAGAGTTAATTGCAGATGAGAGATTTTATCCTTAAATGCTTTTGCGTGCATCTCCTAAGAATCTCCTAAGAATAAGGAGCATAATGGTATTATTATGATCAAGAAATTTAACATTAATAAAATACTATTAGGCCGGGTTCAGTGGCTCACGCCTGTAATCCCAGCCCATAGTGATGCCGAGGTGGGCAGATCACTTGAGGTCAGGAGTTCAAGACCAGCCTGGCCAACACGGTGAAACCCTATTGCTACTAAAAATACAAAAAATTGGTGAGGTGTGGTGGTGCATGCCTATAATCCCAGCTCCTCAGGAGGCTGAGGCAAGAGAATCGCTTGAACCCAGGAGGCTGAGGTTGCAGTGAGCTAAGAATGTGCAACTGTACTCCAGCCTGGGCGACAGAGTGAGACTCCATCTCAAATATTAATAATAATAATTAAATAAAATACTACTAGCTCTTACATAGTTCATATTAGAATTTCCCCCAGTTGTCACAGTAATGTCCTTTATAACTCTTTTTTCCTAATCCAGGATCCAATAAAGGCTCATCCACTGCATTTCATTGTCCTGTCTCTTTCCTTTATCTAGAACAGTTATCCAGCTTTTTTTTCTATCTCTCACAACATGACATTGGCATTTTGAGTGATCCAGGCCAATTGTTTTAGTTTAGGTAATCAAATATTTACAAATACTTACTCTGTGCCAGATTCTATACTAGACTCTAGTCAGACAGAGGTGAGACAGGCTCCATTCCTGCACTCAAGGAGCTAAGACAAGGAAAAATACATGAACATATATGTGGTCAAAGCAGAGCACAGAGGTATTCTGGCACAGCAAGCTATGATGAGTAAGAAGTACAATGAAAGAAGAAGTCAAGGGAGGATTCCTGGGGGAGGCAATGTCAGAGCAGAGTCTCTGCTTCAGAACTATACATGTGGCTGGATCAAGTAAAAGGCTGGTCAAGACTAAAAGAGGCCCAGCAGGTGCAGTGGCTCAGTATTAGGCAGGAGATTGTATTGATTTCACTGGTCCCAGTGACTATTAATTTTAGCTGTAATTGAAATCTACCCAGCATTAAACTCTGAGTCTACTGTTTTGGCATTTCTCAGGTTCCTGTCTGTTTGAGGAAGTGGTTCATTGCCCATGACAATGGTTCCTTGTGCCTTTCTTTCCAGTTGTCATCCAGGTCTTCTGAGTTAGTTACAAAGTAGTTCTCCTGCCAAAATCCCAAGATTCACAGTGGTTAAAGCCAAATAAAAACTGAAATATCAGGATGTGCCCTGATCCCCACATGGGTTTCCTCATAGAATTGTCAGTTTTAAGATTATGCAACTGCTCATAATTCATTGAAGCACACTGTCTGGCACACCTCTGCTTTTCAGGTAGACCCTCTTGGGACCACAGCTTATACTTAAGGGTGTCAGGAAGACCTCCAAGGCTCTCCTCATCCAAAAGAGATGCCTCTGATACAGTCTGTCTTAATATCCTTTTCTTTCCTTTGTTATAACTACAATAGTTGCTACTATTTTTAGCTACTTGTATTTTGTCATCCACCCCACCATAGTTAATGTTCCATGATGGTAGGGACAATATTGTTTTCACCATTCTCAGTATCCATCATCCTAACTGTAACATGGTGAGTATTTAATAGTATTTGTTAAATGAAAGCATAGTAAAGGATGTGGGAAGTGGTTGAGAGAGGGATTTTTTTTTTTTTAATGTTGAGAGTGACTTAAACATCCACAGGACTGTGCTATGTCTTTGGGTCCGGTGTTGGTGTTAAGAATTTTCTTAGATCAACAGCTCTAGTTCCTTAGTCACTCAGTTCACCCCCACGAAGGGGAAAGCTTGGTTATTAGCATGGAATCTTTGCATCTTGGAGATGAGCTAGTGTCTAACCCAACACATGAGGGTGGTCATCTGATCTCTGCTTAAATACTCCTGATGACAGGTTCTATCTTTGGCAGTTGATTTTACTGTCAGACAGTTCTGATTGCTAAAATGTCCTCCTTTTTAAGCTGAAATCTGCCTCCTTACAACTCCTACCCTCATTCTACTCTGTATTCCGAAAGAGCAAATCTACCTCCAATCCTCCTCTTCTCCCATGACCGCCCTTAAGGTATTTCTCTCCCTTGACTTTTTTCAGAAGAGCCTTCCCAGGGCCTTTCCCCTTTGCCATGATCTTGAGGTTCCTCACCACCACTCTGATCATCCTCCACTGGGAACTCTATAATTTCTAAGGTCAGCTTTGCAATGTGATACTCTGAGAAGAGCTGCTTCTCACTGAAAATAAATGTATAAGGGTTAGGTCTTCATCTATCTGTTTACCTCTGCATGTACCATACCTAGCATAGTGGCTGTCACACACACAAGGGATGCTCAACAAATGTTTATTGGATCACAATTGCTCCCATATCTCCAGCATATCAATAGTAAATTTTACATGGACCCTGGGAAGTTTAAGCGTTTTTTTTTTTTTTTCATTTTTATTTTATAGTTGAGCAAAGATATCCCATAAAAATGCAGTGATCATTGACTAATCAAGTTTTCCAGCCCCATTCTCTGACACCTGGGCCAGTGGTTTCAAAGTCTATTTTGTTTTAGCAACAGAACTCCTTTAAAAAAAAGGGGGGGGGTGCAAAGGTAAAATTGTATATAAAATTTGTATATACTGCAGTGCACAAAAATTAAAACCAGAGTAGTTTCTTTGTTTTTTTTGTTTTTTGAGACAGGGTTTCTCCATGTTGGTTAGGCTGGTCTCGAAATCCCAAACTCAGGTGATAAGCCCGCCTCAGCCTCCCAAAGTGCTGGGATTACAGGCGTGAGCCACTGCGCCCAGCCAAAACCAGAGTAGTTTTGAGAGAAGCTGGGATGAGGCCCATAGCTCTAATTACTTGGCCTCCCTATGGATGGCCCAAAGGCTCTGTAGAGCACAGTTTGAAAGTATTGCATCTTCAGGCCAGCTGTGGAGGCTCACGCCTGTAATCTCAACACTTTGAGAGACCAAGGTGGGCAGATCACTTGAGGCCAGGAGTTCAAGACCAGCCTGGTCAACGTGGCTAAATCACATCTCTGCTAAAAATACAAAAAAAGAAAAAGAAAAAATCAGGCCAGGTGCGGTGGCTCATGTCTGTAATCCAAGCACTTTGGGAGGCCAAGGCAGGTGGATCACCTGAGGTCGGGAGTTCGAGACCAGCCTGACCAACATGGAGAAAACCCATCTGTATTAAAAATACAAAGTAGCTGGGTGTGGTGGTACATGCCTGTAATCCCAGCTACTCGGGAGGCTGAAGCAGGAGAACTGCTTGAACCTAGGAGGTGGAGGTTGCAATGAGCTGAGATTGCACTTCAGCCTAGGCAAAAAGAACAAAACACCATCTCAAAAAAAATCAGCCAGGTGTGATGGCATGTACCCTGTAGTCCCACCTATTTGGGAGGCTGAGGCACAAGAATCACTTGAATCCAGGAGGCGGAAGTTGCAGTGGAATGCAGTGAGATCGTGCCACTGCACTCCAGCCTGAGTGATAGAGTAAGACTCTGTCTCAAAAAAATTAAAAAAAAAAAATTGCAGTCTTCTGTCCACACTGCAGCCTTGTGCGGACTAGGACCTCCTAGAGCTTTGGAGCATGATGCTTCATTTTTTCAGTACCTCTCATTAGGATAAGATTTCATGACTTGCCAGCAGTCCAGATTTTCAGACCCTTCAACTCAGAATCTACATCTTAGTATTCTTGCATTGCTGAGAAGAAGAGACACTCAGTGGTTTGCATCAGCACCTGCAGAGCCCCCGCTTTGTCATCATAATTATTCTTCACATCTGTTAGCTCATGTGAGGCAGACAATACTATCCCCAGTCTTAGCTGAATAAAATGAGAACTAGAAGGGTGAGGTTATCCTGCTGATTAAGTGCAGAAACTGGATGAAATCTTTTTCTTGAACTATCACAGACAGCTTAGATTTACCACTTCAACTCTGAATGAAATACAAAATAACAACTTTTTACATTCATAAAGTTCATCCTGTTCCATTTTCTCATTTCATGTTCTCAGCATGATAGGAGATGATTTTCTCCATTTTACATGAAGAAATTGGTGCTCAGAGAAGACAAGCTACTTGTCTAGGATCACATTCCTAGTAAAAGGCAGGAGTCCAGGTGTAGAACCCAGGTCTCCTATTTCCTGGACTGGGTTCTTGTTCGTGTCTCAAAGTGGGACCCTGTGCGTCATTTTTCCTGAAAAATAGGAATCAGAACCCTCATCTGCAGAAAGGAGGGTGGGATATGGTTTAGGTATTATGGACCCTCAAAGACTTACCTTTTCAGAACCACTTCTAGGAAAGGGCTTCAACATTAGCCTCTTTGATAGAAGGGTGAATAGCTATCTAACCCTAGATTTGACTTTGAGCCCAGAGTTGCCAAGCAATTTTAGGTAACTATGAGAAAGCAGTCCTAAAACCCTAAATTATCTTAACATTGAGGTCTTAACTTTGTGCCAAACAATGTACTCAAATTTAGTGTTCCTCAGAGGCTCCGAATGAATCCCAAGCATTATCTAACCATGTGATGTCTACGAAAATGATAAAGGACAGTGTTATATTCCAGTACTCAAGACATCCTCCACAAGCAGATAATTCTGTGGCCTGGGTTGAGGAACTGATTTGGTTTGGGTAGAACCCAATCATGAGAGGGAGTCTTCTTTGGGTTCTGTGTACAGTGATTGGGTGCTGCCGCCTGGTGTTGGGCCATGGACTGGGTGTAGAAACATCAGGGTGAGATTCCCTTTACAGAAAAGATAAACACGAGCCACCTGTCTTTTGGTTATAAATCAAGAAGGCCTGAAAAGTAAGATGCTTTTTCTGGATTAGTTTTATCAGTTTTGTCCCATCAGGAAGTACCTTGTCAGTAAGGGACTGCCTTTTAAAGTTCATTTGATACTGGACAGTGTTCCTGGGCACCCAGAACCTGAATTCAACATGGTAGGCATCAAAATGGTCTAATTACCCCCAAACACTATGTCTCTAATTCAGTCCCTAGATCAGGGTTCATAAGGACCTTAAAGGCTCATTATACACAGCACTCTATGGAAGGATTGTCAGTGCTACGGAAGAGAACCCTTAAAGACAGAGCATCATCTAGTCTGTCTGGAAGGATTACACCATTGGAGATGATGTTGTTATTACAGAAAATGCCATGAAAGCCATCAAGTCTGAAACAATGCATTTATGCTGGAGAAAACTGTGTCCAAATGCTGAGCACTACTTTACAGGATTTACGATACAGCCAATCAAAAAAATCATAAAAGAGATTGTGGTTATGGCAGAAAGGTGGGGGGCAGACGTGGTTTCCAGATGTGGATCTTGGAGGAATTCAAGAGCTAATAGACACCAAACCAGAGGAATCAACAGATGATGACTTGATAGAGATAAGTGCTTCCAAACCAGTGCCAGATGATGAGAAAGAAGGCATAGAAAAAACAGTGCAGTGCCAGAAAACAAATTGACATTAGACGATCTGGCAGAAGTGTTCTGATTATTCAAGACTGTTTTTGGTTTCTTATATGATATGGACCATCTATGATATGGGCACTGAAATTAAAGCAAATGGCAGAAGAAGGATTGGTACCATACAGAATCACTTTTTGAGAAATAAAAAAGCAAAACGTCAGACAGAAATTATGACCTATTGCTGGGCGTGGTAGCTCACGCCTATAATCCAAGCACTTTGGAGGCCAAGGCGGGCAGATTACCTGAGGTCGGGAGTTCAAGACCAGCCTGACCAACATGGTGAAACCCTGTCTTTAAAAAAATTAAAAAGAAATTATGACCTATTTCCATAAAGTTACACCAAGTGTGCCTACCTCTCCTGCCTCCCCTCCTCACCTCTTCCACCTCCTTCACCTCTTCCACCTCCTTCACCTCTTCCACCTCTGCCACCCTTAAGACAGCAAGACCAACCCTTCCTCTTCTTCCTCCTGCCCAGCCTACTAAACATGAAAATGATCCACTTCCACCAAATGAATAATAAATATATGTCCTCTTCCTTATAATTTTCTTAATAACATTTTCCTGTATCTTATTTTATTATAAAAATACAGTGCATAAGACATAACACAAAAAAATTCACCTTAAAAAAATTCCCTTTACAAGTAAAGGCTTTCATAGCCATTCTTTTCTGATATTCACAAGCTCTTTGGAAGAATGGGGCTTCCCATGTTGTAGATGAGGAGACTAAAGTTCCCAGAGAAGCAGTCTGCTGAGTGGCAGAGCCAAATTCTACCCGATTCTGATCCCCATGCCCAAGCTCAGCACTCATCAAACCCAGCTTCGTTGAAGTATTTCTGTAGAATTGGGCAAATAAAAAATGAGAGATGATACATGGGAGCAGATCCTTTGCAAACAAGCCTTTAACAAGGCATCAAGAAGCATTTCTGACATGTCCTGCTGGTTGAGCAGAGGGTCACCTTTTAAAGTACTCTCATCTAAGCAAATATATCCCAGTTCTAGGATCTTGTGTCTCAGGCAGTTTCTTCCATCTTAGAATAGCTCCATTTGTTTAAGATTTTCCTTATCCAGAAGAAGCATAGGGCGTCTAGACCAGAAGAAGCCTCAAAGACCACCTCGTCCCAACAAAGAATTTCTAAAGAGGCTGAAGTCCAGAGAGTGGCATTGAACTTGACTAAGGTCCCCTAATGAGAGCTACAACCCTGACTGGTACACAGGCCTCCTGAGTCCCTGCCCAGGGCTTTCTCTTTTGCTGCTGCTTGCTCCACTCGAACAGGTACCTGGGATCCAGCACTTTGGCAGTCCTTCTAAGCTCTAACTCTGGTTTTACTGTTTTTCAGGTGAAACCTTTATCCTGGGGAATACTCTGTCCCGGTCCTTGGAACCACACTCAGATTCAATGGACTCTGCCTCGAATACCACCAACCTTGTCAGCACCTCCCAAAGGCACTGGCCCTTACTTCCATCCTGTGGCCTCCCAACTAGCACTGCCTCAGCTGTGCGCAGGCTATGCTCCAGGGGTAAGCTTACTAGAATCCTGGCCCTCCTTCCCTCCCTCACTCTTTCCTTCACTTCCTTCCTGAGATCTGGGAGGCCAGAGAGGACCTAGCTCTGTTGCCCTCTGCCTGGTGGTGGGACTAGGGGCTGGACTTACTTTTGTGCCTGGCCTTACATATGGGTGGAGTAATTGGAGCTCTGAGATTGGCTTGAGTATAACAGAAACTAAGAGCCAAAGAACTAGACCCAAAAGGGTCAGGGAAGGATTCATTCATTCATTCATCCATTAACTATGTATTTGAACTCCATCTGTATTTGGCATGGGGAAACAATAATCAGTCACTTTTTGTCTTTGAGGTATTATGGGGAGACAGACACTTAAATTATAAAACAGTGTCTTGAGTGCAGTGACAGAGATTTGTTGTGGGTAGTATGAAAATTGCAAGAAGGAATACCTAACCCAAGCTTGGTGTTCAAGGGACACTTTCTTGAGGAAGTGATGCCTTGCCTAAGACTGTATAAATGGCCATAGCAGGGCTGGTAGAGGAGGGAGAGCTTTTCAGGAAGGGGGCGGGGCAACATGAATAAGGACAAAAGAATAAGAAATAGCACGGATTATACCAGGAACTGCATGCAGTTTGGAATTGCTCAACCACAAAATGTAATACTGACACTCAAAGAGAAAAGCCTGGAAAGGTCAAGGCACATATCATAGAAGATCTTAAGTGGGCTTTTAATTAGAGGCAAAACAGCTTTGTGTTTTGAATAGATTATTGATTACTTTGTTGAGTGTGGATTTGAGGAGGGACAAGACTAAGAAACTTAAACAAGTTAGGAGGTTACTCGAGTGGGCCAGGTCCGAAGTGACACAGGCCTAGGTTAGGGCAGAGACAGAGGTTTAGAGAAGAGAGAGTGGATTTGAAAACGGTTCACAAGGTAAATTTCATCAGATTTGAGGACTGTGAGGAAGAAGGGAAGGGAGTGAGGAATGTCTCCCAGGTTTCTCGATGTGGTGGCTGTATAGATGGTGGTGCCATTAACAGAGAGGGAACCCACCATAGAAGAGAAGGAAGGCTGGGGAGCCCATGGGCATGTAGATGATATCTAACAGGCAGTGGCTATCAGATCCAATCCTCAGGGAAGAGTGCTGGGCTGACGTTATTTAAGAGTCACCAGCATATAAACAGCAGTTGAAATTTTAGGGCGAATGATACTGACTTCTCGGAAGTATTGTAGTGAATGAATAGAACAGTTAATCAAAGATGAAGTCCTGGGAATCAGCAAAGCTTAGTAGGTGGTAACAGGAAAGGGAGCCCACCAAGGAGAAGGAGTAGTCAAAGTGAGGGACAATTTAGAAAATTCAAAGTGAGAAGAATTTGATATTGTGGTGGCCAGGAGTACAGAGAGTGTTTGAAGGAGAGCACAGCATAACAAAGTTCTGGCAAAAAGGGGACTGAGAAACATCTATTGGATTCCACCATTAGTGAGTAATTGGTGATCTTAGAGTAGCCTTGGTGCTGTGGTAGAGGGGTGAAGGCAGGTTGCACTGAGTAGGATATCAATGGGGACTTTAATGAGAAAAAAAGCTGGTGATGAGTAGGACTGTAAGTCAAAGAAGATCTTTTAGAATGGGAGCCCTTCAAGCACGTATATCAGCAAACAACTTGTACCTTCTAAAAAGCAGCAATTAAGAATATAGCAAAGAGGAAAAGTAAGGCCTTAGGCATGGTAGGATCAAGGGCATAGGCAGAGGGATCCGTCTTAAGCCAAAAGGAGGCTCACTTTCTCTGAGAGAGGAAGGAAGATTGAGTGTCTATCAGTGAATAGACAAAGGGCTGATCAAAGAAGGGGTTAGAAGAGCTGAGAGACTGGATTAGTCTGGGTTTTTGGGGTTTTTTTTTTTTTGAGATGTAGTCTTGCTCTGTCCCCTCGGCTTTCCCTAGTAGCTGGGACTACAGGTACAAGCCACCATGCCCGGCTAATTTTTTATATTTTTAGTAAAGACAGGGTTTCACCGTGTTAGCCAAGATGATCTCAATCTCCTGACTTCATGTTCTGCCTACCTCAGCCTCCCAAAGTGCTGGTATTACAGGCATGAGCCACCATGCCCAGCCAAGACTGGACTAATCTTAAAGAAGATGGAGAAAAATGGACCAAAGATGATTTGCAGGAAACATCAGGACCCAGCTATACTGGGAGACCAGTTGGCCAGTTTGCAAAAGCTATGGTTTTCTTCTGTGGTTCTTAGGAACCTAATAGATACAGGATGAGAAAAGACAGCTTGAGAATTAAGGGGGGTTTTGCTGAGCTAGTAGAGCAAGAGCTGGGAGAAAGAGGGAGAGTATGTAAAGAAATTAGTAATCAGGAAGAGCAGTTTGAATCATCATCCGCTAGATGTGGGAAGGCAGGGTGGGAAGGATGCAAGGCTAAATTAGGATAGGGAAAATGGAAAGTTTGACATGCCAAAGAACTTTGTGATATAATGGTTAGAGTGGACATAAGTCCCAAGAGAGCTAGAAAGATGTAAGGCTGGGGTCAGAGAATGGGATGCTTAAAATTCTTAAGTGGATTTGTTCCAAGGGATTGCAGGAGCCAAGCAGTAGCACTAGTAGTAGGTATTTGGAGTAGAGTGGAGGTGAGAGTCACTGGAGGCATGGTAGCTGAATGGATTGCCTGCAAGGATTAGTGCAGAAGTTGGGGTGGAACAGTGGGTAGTGAGCTAAGTAAGAAAAGTCTTCATTTACCAAGGGATAGAAACCCAGACATCTATAAATAATAGTGAGAAGGAAGAGCTGATGATTGGGTACATGTTTGGCCTCCAAATAACGTGAGCTTTCATAGGAGGATGGTCTAGAAGCAGCAGAGGGGAGCCAGAAGAATGTCACTTCCACACCTTGGTTCCGGCCTCCAGCCCAGGGACGCATGAGTGAGGTGTGAAAGTATAGGAGGACTCCATTAGCAAAGCCTGCAATGAAAAAAGTCACCTCAGCAGAAAGAGTTTTCAGGAAGGCTGAGTTGTGGGAAGAAGCCTGTGGTGCCCTTACCCCTACCCTAAACCCAGCAAGGCAGCAAAATGGAATCTAAAGGGCTCTCAGGTAGAGGCAGAGCTGAGCGTTGATTCTAGCCTCAGCTGCCTTGCCTTGAGATTTGGGTCAGTCGTCTCACCTCTCAGGTCTTCCTCATATGCAGAATGTTCCTCATGTGCAAACTGGAGATGGTGACACCAACCTGGTCTTTCCACAGGAGTGTTAAAAGGATCAAATGAAAGAAGGGATATGGAATCATTTTGGAAACTAAATCGTTCCCCAGGTATGAGGGGAATTACTGTTATTTTTATCTTCCCCAAGGCCCTGTTTCTGAGAAAAGTACTTTGTGGATAGGCTGCCCTCCTGGTACTGGCCTCAAATGGTACTGTTGTCCCCTAAGCATCTCCCGCCTTCCTTGGAAACACACTATGAGTCTGTCTGCCAGGTCATTGCATAAATCTCTTTACAGCCTGATGGTCTTCATAACTCTATGAAAAGATTCATTTGGCTAGCCCTAGAATTGTTTGTCTTAAAGAATTTGGATGTTGAGTCTGTTTCCTCTCTTACTGCATTAACCACGATGATTAGGCATGAGCTTGTTAGTTGGCCTCTTGTGGATGTGCCTCACCTGCGTTAGTCATGCTCAGACTGAGACAACCACTCCTCGAAGAGCAAGTGTCAGCCATACACATTGAGGAGCGGTAGGTAGAGCTTTGCCGTAGGCTATCTGCAGAGGGAATAGGAAAAGACAGGGCAAGTCCTTCCCGTCTCTTTTCACTGAGTCCCCTCCCCTCTGAATGAAAGATAGTATGATGCCTCCTTCAAAGGCTATTTTAAAGATCAAATGAGTTGACAAAGGTGGTAGTTCTTTCTAATTTATAGAATATTGTTCATATATCAGGTCACTTTTTACCACTACCACCCTGGCAGTTCATGCCACAGTGTTCTCTTGCCTGGATTATCATAATGGCCCCTCTTTTTCTTTTTTTTTTTTTTAACAGTGTCTCTCACTCTGTCACCCAGGCTGGAGTCCAGTGGCTCAATCATGTCTCACTGCAGCCTCAACCTCCTGGGCTTACGCGATCTTCCTGTCAAGCTACCTTCTGAGTAGCTGAGACTATAGGCGCACATCATCACACCCAGCTAATTTTATGCAGAGACATCAAGTTTGGCCATGTTGCCTAGGCTGGTCTCAAACTCCTGGGCTCAAGCAATCTGCCCACCTCGGCCTCCCAAAGTACTGGGATTACAGGCATGAGCCACTGCATCTGCCCTAATAGCCTCCTTCTTAACTGGTCTCCCTTCTTCTATCCATGTGCCCTGAAGTCTGTTATTAACATAAACAATGAGAGTGATCCTGCTCATTGCAAGTTGGTTCATGTAACTCCGGTGCTCAAAACCTACCTATTTCACTCAGAAAAGCCAGTGGTTTTCTGTGGCATACAAGGTCCTCTGTTATCTTCACTGCCACTTCCCTCCTCTTCTTTAACACACACATCCATGCCTCTCAGTGTTATTTCATACCACTTTCTCCCTCATTCACTTTGTTCTGACACATTGGCCTTCCTGCTAAATCCTACATGTGCTGTTTGCTGTTCTGCCTCAAGGTCCTTGCTCAGATTTCACCATTTCAGAATGTCTCTCCTAACTACCATATAAATTAGCAACTTCCTACCACCTGCCCCCATGGAGTTTATATTCTAATGGGAATAGGCTGACAGACAAGCATATAAATATATAGTATTATAAATGTGGATCATCTTAGTCCATTAGAGCTGCTCTAACAAAGTACCATGAACTGGGCAGCTTATAAACAACAATTTAGTTCTCACAGTCTTGGAAACTGGGAAGTCCAAGATCAAGGCACTAGCAGATTTGGTGTCTGATGAGGACCTACTTCCTGGTTCACAGACAGCCACCTTCTCACTGAAACCTCGCATAGCCGAAGGGGCGAGGGAGCTCTCTGCAGCCTGTTCTGATGAGAGTACTAAACTCATTCGTGAGGGCTCTACCCAAATGTCCCACCTCCAAATATATATATCATGTATGTATGTATATGATACCTAGCCTCTGATTAGAGGAATTAGCTAATGGTCCAAGAGGGACACATCCTTGCATATATACTCTCTCCCCATATTTTCTCTCTATTCTCTAGAGTCTCTCACTTGGTTCTTCTCTTAGCATCACAGTGTTTTTTGTTTGTTTGTTTGTGACAGAGTCTCACTCTGTTGCCCAGGCTTGAGTACAGTGGTACAATCTCAGCTCACCACAACCTCCACCTCCTGGGTTTAAGCAATTCTCCTGCCTCAGCCCCCCGAGTAGTTGGGATTACAGGCGGCCGCCTCCACGCTGAGCTCATTTTTGTATTTTTAGTAGAGCCAGAGTTTCACCATGTTGGCCAGGCTGGTCTTGAACTCCTGCCCACCTTAGCCTCCCAAAGTGCTGGGATTACAGGCGTAAGCCACCACGCCCCACCCACAGTGGACTTTTAAGACAGAGAGAAGTGACTGGTTCACAAAGCCCCCTCCAACTTTCCATCTACTAATACCTCCAAAAAGCCATAGGGATTTCTGTGACTAAGCAGCCCCTGTTGGCTTCTTCACCTTTGCAGAAGAAAGTTAAATATTTGGCCCTTCTACTTTATCAGATAGGTGGGAGGGTTGGGAGGTTGTCTGTTTATTATTTGTTTGTTTTTGAAACAGGGTCTTACTCTGTCACCCAAACTGGAATGCAGTGGCATGATCATAGTTCACTGTTAACCTTGAACTCCTGGGATCAAGCCATTCTCCCACCTCAGCCTCCAGAGTAGCTGGGACTATTGGTGCACACCACGATACCCAGCTGATTTTTGTACTTGTTTTATAGAGAAAGGGTCTCACAATATTGCCCAGGCTGGTCTCAAACTCCTGGCCTTAAGCGATCCTCCTGCCTTGGCTGTGCTAAGTGCTGGGATTACAGGTGTGAGCCACTGCACCCAGTGTATAGGTATGTGTTAGCTCTGCCACTTGGTAGTTTGTGACAAGGCACCTCTGGATGTTGTAGATACAGACATGAGCAAGGCAAGGACCCTGCCTCAGTAGAGACATAGTCTAGTTGGAGAGAAAGAAAAATTATCTGTGATCATTCACTTACCTAACAGATGTGTTTGAACAGTTACTGTGGCAGACCAGGCACTCCTTTACATGTCAGCAACGTAGCAGGGAACAAGAGAGAGCTTACATTGTATAGGGAGAAGACAGATAAAAAACATGAAATTATTGAGTCCATGAAATTATTTTAGATAACAATATGTACTGTGGGGAAAGAAAAAAAAAAAAAAAAAAAACTAGGGTAATTGGATTGAAAAGAACTGCGTGGGGAATTGAGTATTTTTACTAGGAGATCAGGGAAGGCCTCTCTATAGAATCAATATGTGAGGTAAGACCAAAATGATGAGAAGGAGTCAGGCCTGAAAAGGTTTTAGAAAAGAGCATTCCAGACAGAGGAAATTGCATGTCAAAGGACAAATACTTGACTTATTCAAGAAGCAGAAAGAAGGCTAGTGAGTTTGAGACACAGCAAGTGAGGGGTAAGTTGCGAGCAGGGGTTGTAGGGTGAAATGTGGCCAAAGGTAGGAAGGCTCAGCTGATGGACTACCTCATAGACCCTGGCAAGCACAGCAAGGAGCTCAGATTTCACTTCATGTGCAAAGGGAGGCCACTGCATTGAGTTTTTAGAGGGGGTTAACATGGTTCAATTACTGCTGTATTTTTTTTGTTGGTTTGTTTTGTTTTGTTCTGAGACAGGGTCTGGCTCTGTTACCCAGGCTGGACTTCAGTGGTGCTGTCACAGCTCACTGCAGCCTGGAACTCCTGGGCTCAAACAATCCTCCTGCCTCAGTCTTCTGAATAGCTAGGACTACAAGGATGTGCCACCACACCAGCTAATTTTTTTAAAAAATTTTGTAGAGATGGAGATCTTGCTTTGTTGCCCAAGGTGGTCTTGAATTCTTGGGCTCAAGCAGCCTCCCACTTCAGCATCCCAAAATGCTGGGATTATAGGCATGAGCCACATGTCCAGCCTAATTATTGCTTTTTAAAGGTTCCTTTACTGCTTCATGGAGAACAGAGATTATTAGCATGGTGTAATGAGGGGAAATGGGTACAGAAAGATCTGTAACCAAGAAGAATATACTAAATTCTTTGTGAGACCATTTATTTTAGGATTAGACCAGAAAAGTTTCATAAAGGAACTGATTCTTGAAGCCAAGACCTGCTTTTGGTTAAGTTGGAGCTTGTCCAAAGAAAATTAAAAATTGAAGGGAGAGAAGAGGACAAATTTCAAGCAGAGAGAATAAAACATATAAAAGATCTCTGACAGATGATGGTCAAAATACAGAGATCCCAAATCCCACAGGGGAAACGGGAGGAGTTATATCTGAATCAAGATGAAATCTCCAAGCAGAGCACTAAATTAACATTGAGATTCCTGGCAGCCAAAGCAAAAACTGTTTTCTGGCTAGGCGCGGTGGCTCATGCCTGTAATCCCAGCTTTGGGAGGCCAAGGCCAGCAGATCACTCGAGGTCAGGAGTTCGAGACCAGCCTGGCCAACGTGGTAAAACCCTGTCTCTACTAAATAGAAAAATTCATGCATGCCTGTAATCCCAGCTACTCAGTAGGCTGAGGCAGCCCAATCACTTGAACCTGGGAAACAGAAATTGCAGTGAGCTGAGATTGTGCCACTGCACTCCAGCCCCTGGGTGACAGATCAGGACTGTGTCTAAAACAAAACAAAACAAAACTGTTTTCTGCCTTAGTGTATCAGGCTGTAATGAGGTCACCTATTCAGGTCTTGGAAAAGAATCCAGGGCATTTTTGCCAACGTGCCAAGGATTTGTCTCTAATCTTACCTGGCTACCAGTGTCTCTAGAAATGGTCCCCCAGAGCCAAGGCAAAAACAGCCCCACTCACCAGGCCCCCCACAATGCTCAGATAGTCCCCTTACCATGTTGGTACCACTGTCTCAGGTTTGGGCTGAATCATAGCTTCCATGCAAAATTTCTTCTGGCCATTTCCAAAAATCAGATCTACCCTTTAAAAACAAAGATTTGATTTTCCCTTTGTGAAGAAATGCTTCCCTCCCTCGGCTAGCTCCAGTTCCTTGGCTCATGGTCTAGCACTGCTATGAGCATCACCTAGAAGGCCACTGAGATGTGCCAAGGAGAGGGTGGGGACTTACAAACTAGTCCCTGCCTGTTATGATGGGTGCCCTCCTGTCCTGCAGGGCCGGACCGATACCTGGAGAGCCGGGATGCCTCTCGACTGAGTGGCCGGGACCCCTCCTCATGGACAGTCGAGGATGTGATGCAGTTTGTCCGGGAAACTGATCCTCAGCTTGGACCCCATGCTGACCTCTTTCGCAAACACGTAGGTGCCCCTGCCTGACCTCTCATTAGGAATATGTGTGGAGAGCCTCACCTGGCAGGGCAGTAGGAGATGTTTGGGGAGGAAGGATGCTTAGAGACAAAGGGTGAGGAGAGTAGGTAGGCTTCAGCATCACAGAAGGTGAACTGGACCCCATGTGGCTGGCACTTCCCAGGATGGCCTGTAATGAGAACCTGGGGTGGTCGGACCAACCAGGACTCTGATGGCACCTCCCCTCCACTTCTGCCCACCTCCCACTCCCCAGGAGATCGATGGCAAGGCCCTGCTGCTGCTACGCAGTGACATGATGATGAAGTACATGGGCCTGAAGCTGGGGCCTGCGCTCAAGCTCTCCTACCACATTGACCGGCTGAAACAGGGCAAGTTCTGAACCAGGAGAGGCAGCCTAGACAACCAAGGGGTCAGCAGGAGGGGGCAGTCTTCTAGGAATGAGGGGCATCAGCCCACCCCAGGCACTTCATTGGGGTTCCAGGGCACCTCAGGACTCCAAGAGGCTGTGTGGAGCCACCACTCCTAGCTACAGCTGCCATGATATGTCCTTCCATGAAGGACCAAAGAGGGAGAGTGTAGGGCCCAGGGCTAGTGCTGCTTTTCCCTCCCCTCAGCTCTGCCAGGGCTCCAGGGTCCCCTCTATTTATTTCTCAAGCCTGGCCGGCCTATCACCAGTTTAGACTGAATGCCTTTCAAGTGATGGAGGAAAAGGCCAGCTCTGCCCTGGTCTTGGTGTGGCACCCCATCGCCCCACAGCTCCTACCTTATCACCAGATTTCCCTGAATCCAAACTCATGGTGCAAACCCCTGCCTTTTTTAAAAAAAAAATCTTATTGTTAATTTATTGTTTCTGGCACTTGGGCAAACCCTTTAGTTATTACTCCTCCCACACTAGACACTGGGTTTCGGGAGGAGGGAGATTGCCCTGCCCTGGTCCCAGAGAGGCCGTCTCCAGATAGGTGTGGCCCCTCTTCAGAGGACACTATGCTAGGGCATTTTCTCTTTGAAGTGGAGAGACCCATAAGGCCTTGACCACATCACTCCATATGGGAAGGAGAAGGGTTCCTGTCCTCTTCTCTTCCTGGGGCCCTTTTGTAGCCCCAGGCCTCATCTGTGGGAAGAGAGTCCCTGCCCATACTGCCCCCACCACAGTTCTGGCCAGAACTGCAGTTGAAGATCAGGCTGGATGATCTTAGGCCAAGAAGGTCCTAAGGTAGATGCGAGGGCAGGTTTTCCAGGCTGGAGACAGTTCCATTCACTCTGCTGTCCATATGCTTCCTTGTAAGCAAGTCAGCAGCATAGCTACTCACGCTGCCATCTGGACTTATTTTATGTCAATCTGTTTATAAATAAAAACCAATATAGATACCACTGTCTTTTTAATCAATTAACAGCCAAATCACTATGCATTCATTGGACCAGTCATTCCCCTTCTCTTGGTCTTAATTTGCTCACATATAAAACAAGGTCGGGCTCATGCCTGTAATCCCAACACTTTGGGAAGCCAAAGCAGGAGAATCTCTTGAGCTCAGGAGTTTGAGACCAGCCTGAGCAACATGATGAAACCCCAGGTCTACAAAAAAAAAAAAAATACAAAAATTATCCTGGTGTGGTGGCACACACCTATAGTCCCAACTGCTTACTGCTGCCTCACCCCTAGGAAACAAACAGTAACATCTTCAGAAAGGCTGCTCACAAGGAAGGCAGCTTCTCTACACTATCAAACAGCTTCCTTGGTTGAAGCATCTAACTCTGGCCCTATCCTTACTGCCCCCAGTCGGGGCTTCCTGAAGCAGTGTGGGAAAGTGCTGCTGGCCTTCTGCAGAATGACGAGCACTGGTCAGTCCTGCGCTAATAAAGGCTGCGCGTCCCCCATGTCTTCGTTTCTCAAACAGTAGGTAACAACCTCATCTTTCCGAAGAGATAGCTATGCTTGACCGATTTTTCAGGGCTCTTCTGAACAGCAGCCTCTGTCTGTAGCACAGAGAAGGGCCTGGCATCAGGGGGGCCCTGGAGCCCACCATGTGCCTCCTGCTCCATCTTGGGAGCAGCTGGGCCTGTCAGCACTCGGTCAAGCCTGGGATTGGTGACTAAAGAGGGAGGTGTGGAAGTGTTAGGCAGCAGTGCTGAAAGAGGTGGCAATGGGTACCCTACATGGGCACTGGGGCCTGGAGAGACCACAGAATGAGGAAGTATCTCCAGCTCTCAAATTCTGGAAGCTGTCAGAGAGAGGGAGTCCCACAGCCAAGCTGCATGGGGGTGGGCCTCTGGGTCTGCTTCCAATGTGTGGTGAGGCCCACAGGGAGCTGAGAAGGAGTTTTCCTGTCTGATTTCCCACACCTGGCCTGCCTGTGGCTGGTCAAGAAGGCATTGTTGAGCCTCATGAGATCACAGAGATAGCTGTGCAGGCCCCGCCCACTTCCTATAACCCTGGTTCTGGCTGGGTTTGTTACTGTTACTGTTTGTTTCCTTGGAGGCTGTGCCAAGCCTCCAAGGGCCCTGAGAGCTATCGGCCAGGGGTCGGGGTACTGTGGGAGCTCAGGGCAGGCACCTCCCATGCTCCCACCGGAGCCACTAGGACATAAAGCTCATAGCATAGGCCTCTCCACTCCTTGTCCTGTTTGACCTGAATGCCCCCAGGCTGACTGCCTCAAGGATTCCATCTGAGAAGATGCAACCTGGGTGTGTGGGGAGCAGTAGAGGGTCTGGTGTTAAACATATGTGCACAGCTCAGGACAGAGGCTCCCTGGACTTGGGGCGGGGGGTGACCAGGTCACAACTCTAACCCTCATTCTGCCCCTCCTGACTTCTGCTCTCTAAACCAAACATGGAAGACAGTCTAGACTAGGAGTTCTTAGGGTCTAGGAGCCCCTTTAAGTGATAGGTTTATATGCAAAGGCCATTTTTCTGAGAGCCCATAGCCTTCTTTCATCGGTATGTCAAAAATCATGAGAATCTCTGCTCTGAAAGCCTCTGCCCCACCACTGCCTAGTGTTCTGGTCCCTTCTGCCACTCTGGGCAGATCCCCTCAGGCTCCCCACAGGCTCTGTGTCTGGCTCAGTCTGCCTGACTCCGCTTTCCCATCTTAGGCCTCATACAGGTAGGCAGGCCCTTTCCTGCTTGCCTTCTGCCCTCCCACTCTCTCTGGCCCTGCCCAGCCTCTGCCAGTCTATGTGTCTCCCAGGAGCCGGGATACTCCCTGAGTCCTCTGGGAGCCCCTAAGCCACACTGAGAACCCAGACCCTGGGAGGAGCAGCCAGCAGTGAGGAATCCTGGAATCCCTTCCCAGGGAGAGCCTTCCCATGACCTCCAGGAAGCGATCAGTGCAAACACAGGTGTCAGCGTCCCTGCTGGAGTACTGGGATGAGGAGTCCCTGCCGGAGCTCCCTGTGGAGCCATCCCTGACGGAATACTCCGACCTCGAAGAGGCTCCCTCGGCACACACTCTCTGTGTGGGCCATCTAAACCCCCAGTTCTCAGTGCCAGTGCTCGCCTGCCTGCTGCGAGATGCCCTGGAGCGGCTGGAGCTGCCAGTGGCACGGGAGCACATCGAGGTGGTAAGGCGGCCACGGAAGGCCTATGCACTGGTGCAGGTGACTGTCCGCAGGGACACCCTGGCCTCCCTCCCCTGGCGCCTGCGGACAGCCATGGAGGAGCACCTAATCCTCAAGGAGCTGGCAGCCCGTGGAAAGGAGCTGCTATTGAGTGAGGCTCAGGGGCCCTTCAGCCACAGAGACGTAAGTAGGACTTTTCCCAAGCAAGCTCCAAAGCCTCACCCCCAGGGAGAGACCCCCGGGTGGTAGTGGCCTGCAGAGTTGGGGCAGAGGGGTATCTCTGAGGAAGCAGGGACAAATCTGCAAACTTGGGGGCTGCTACTCAAATGACCATGGCTTGTGGCTGGTACTGCCAGCTTTCTCCCAGAAAGACACTGGCGCTCAGTTTGCCTCTAGCCCAATGCTTGCTTCGTGAAGAAAGGCTGTGGGGCGGCCCCCTCCTTGGGTCCTTTTGCATTCCAGCCTCTGGGCCTGGGAGACCCTAGAAGACACAGGGCCCTTGGCCCACCTCACTTTTTCAGTTGACAAACATGAACACCCACTCTGTGCCAGGACTAAGGCAGGGATGAGACCCAGCCCGACCCCCAAGGAGACCTGCATCTGTGGGCAGAGCCGAACAGCCACCCACAGAGCTGCGAGGTAGCTGCGCTCAGAGCTATGAGAGGACATAGGAAGGAACACCCTGCTCTCTGGGGACAGATTCACAGGGGAAGTGAAATCCAGGCTGGGACTTAGGGAGTTGGACAGATACCTGAGGAGGAGGACATTCCAGGCAAGGGACACAGAACATGCAGAGGGAACCTGGGGGCTTAGAGGGAGTGTCGTATCTGCAGAAGGGCAAGGCATTTGGTGTCCCTGGAGCTCCTGCTAAAGGCTGCAGGGGGTGTTACAGAAGGAAGTTGGGCCGTAAAGTAGGGCAGGGCCAGGTCACCAACACTATAGGCCAAAGCTAGGCTAAAGAGCTGGCTTTACTGGGACATGGGAAGTTAGGGTGGGTCCGTCCATGAGACAGTGATCTTGGGTTTTTTTTTCTTTTAGTGTGAAAACTATTGCAGAACTAAAAGGCTCTGTGGCTTACATTTCAACTCAATTTCATATCTGTATGAAGTTTAAGTTTTTTTTTTTGAGACGGAGTCCTGCTCTGTTGTCAGGCTGGAATGCAGTGGTGCAATCTTGGCTCACTGCAACCTCTGCCTTCCAGGTTCAAGCGATACTCCTGCCTCAGCCTCCCAAGTAGCTGGGACTACAGGCGTGCACCATCATGCCTGACTAGTTTTCTGTATTTTAGTAGAGACGGGGTTATGCCATATTGACCAGGATGGTCTCGACTGCCTGACCTCATGATCTACCCACCTCGGGCCTCCCAAAGTGCTGGGATTACAGGCATGAGCCATTGCACCCGGCCAGTTTATCCTGTTTCTCAGACTGATAAATTCATCTTCTCTGGGGAGCTGCAGGGCTGGTAGTGAGGTTTCCTGGTCTCCTCACCCCAGCCCATGCTCATGAAGTAACAATCTGCCTAGAAGTTAGCATCACTAAAGAGGGTCAACAGGAAAGGGTGAGCGTGGAAGAAGGGAGGTTGGGCTGGGGCTGGCTGGGGCTGGCTGGGGAGGCCCAGACTAGAAATGGCCCCGAGAAGGCTCACACCAAGCCCTGGGGCAGAGCAGAAACCACAAAAAGGGACTCAGGCACAGAAGGAGGTGGAGATTAGGGTAGACTTGTCAATGGCCCAAAAAGTAGTGAGCAAAGGTTTGAGATCAGGAAGTGGGTGGGGTGTCTGGGAGTCCCTCTCCATTCAGGGTCCTGCAGCTCTGTCACAGGGTGCTGAGTTATCTGTTAGAATGATCTGGCTCTGGGCCTTAGGGGCCTATCTGCAACCCAAGTAAGAAAAAATTGGCCCACACGTGTCCCAGCACTCAGCCCTGGGAAGCAGAAATCTCTTCCTCACCAGGCATCCCATAGCTCACCTGGGAAGAGCCCAACTCGGCGGAGGAAGGAGTGCCAGCTAGAACCCTCGATCCAGCAGGGTTTCCTGCCTCGGCTGCAGGAAGGTGGGCACAACTGGGCCACTCGGCCTGGTGAGGGACATCAGGATGGCCATGAGAGTTGAGCCACAGCAGGGGCCTGACTGGGGGTTCTTGCAGTCCTTCTCAAGGTCGGGGCTCTCATTTTCTTTCTGGACCATACACTCATTCTTGACTCTCACCCAGGGGGAGGAAGACAGTGGCCTGAACCCTGGCCCTAGCCCTAACCCAGGCTCTGGTGTTCCGCTGCCCACCTGGCCTACACACAAGCTGCCTGATAGGCCCCAGGCCTGGCAGCATCAGAGCTGCCACACCCGGCCCAGTGGCGTGTGCTCCGACAGTGCCATAGTGCACCAGGAGATCGTGGGCAAGGAGCAGCTCTTCCAAGGTGCTTTCCTGGGCAGCGAGACCCGCAACATGGAGTTCAAGCGGGGCAGCGGCGAGTACCTAAGCCTGGCCTTCAAGCACCACGTGCGGCGCTATGTGTGCGCCTTCCTCAACAGCGAGGGCGGCAGCCTGCTTGTGGGAGTAGAGGACAGCGGCCTGGTGCAGGGCATCCGCTGTGGCCACCGCGATGAGGACCGCATGCGGCTGCTGGTGGACTCCATCCTGCAGGGCTTCAAGCCCCAGGTCTTTCCTGACGCCTACACCCTCACCTTCATCCCTGTGATCAGTACCTCGGAGACCAGCGTCCCCCTCAAGGTGAGCCTGCAGGACATGAGGGCCTCTGGGCCTGTCACCTGTCATCACTCAAGACGATGGCCTGCGCTCCTCTGCCAGGCAGTGCTGGGGCAGGGACAGGACTGGGGACCACAGGAGAAGAGGCTGGGGATGCCCCCACGCCAGCCCTGCCAGGCTGCCCTAAGGAAGCAATGAGCAATGTTGAGCAGCCTGGCAGGAAGGGGACTGCCAACCGTGAGGGGCAGTGCCTCCAGAGCTGACGTTGCCCCTACCAAGGTGATCCGCCTGACTGTGCAAACCCCCAAGGCCCAGGGCGAGCCGCAGCTCTACCAGACAGACCAGGGGGAGGTGTTTCTGCGGCGTGACGGGAGCATCCAGGGCCCACTGTCCGTCAACGCCATCCAGGAGTGGTGCAGGCAGGTACAGAGCTGAGGCCAGTGGGCAGGGCACGGTGGGGTGGAGCTGACCCCAGGCCCCTTAGCCACCCACTGAGCAACCCAGGGCAAGCCACCATGGTTCCCTGGGCCCTGCATCACCTTGTTTAACCCAAGGGGTTAGATTAAAATCACACCACATCCCGTCCTCCACGGTTAGGTGGCCGGTGGGGAGGGAGAGGCCTATGCCCTCTCCTTTTAAAAAATCTATGCAGTAACTTCCTTTCATGGGTGCCTGAAACCCCTTACCTCCTACTTGGGCAGTTAACACACCCGATCTTGAGTGGCTGAGGGAGCAGGGAGACTGGAATGTTGAGAAGTCACCAGAAAACTCCAAGGACTGTTCACTGCATTTTAGGGGAGACCCTAAAGAAAAGGGGTGGAGGGGTGCTGGACAGTTTCAAGGAAGAGCTTTTTCAAGAGGGAAGCAGGGGAGAGCGGAGGACAAGGGGCCGACAGTGAGGTGGGACATGGCCTGCCGACACAGAGGAGGCCCCCTTCCAGGGTCAGTAGCCAGCAGCTTCCCTCAGACTGATGTGGTCAAAGGTGGCAGCAGGCCAAGGGGCCTGACTTCCCCTCTAGCTGAGAAGGCTCCCAGGCTCCCCGGGCTTTGCCTTCCTCCCTCAGTTTGGCCCCAGATGGAAGATGGACAGGCTTGAGACCATGCGGGCTTGGCCACGTGCCTCTCCCATGTCCCCTCAGAGGTGGCTGGTGGAGCTGGGCAAGCTGGAGGAGAAGGTGAAGGCGCTGATGATGGAGAAAGAGCAGCTCCAGGAGCAGCTGCAGCAGCGCGGGCCAGTGTCTTGCACCTGCTGTGTCTTGTGAGGGCCTGGGAAGCAGCAGGACCACCCGATGCTCTCCACCCAAGATGCAGGGGTTTCCCATTTGAGCCTAAGGCCGACCAATAAAGCCCATGCGGGCCACTGAGACGTGGAAAGGGGCTTCTTCAACATGGCACATGAGCAGGCGCCCGTGTGGCTTCAACCCTGACAGACCCCAGTGTGTGTAGCTAAGAAATTGCTCTCAGCCCTGTCCCCAAGAAACCTTACTTTCAGAAAGAAGGTGTTCCCCTAAGGCTGAGCTATAAGAGTTCCAGAGCTCCCCCTAGGACTGAGCTATAAGAGATTGTCCCAAAACAAACAAACAAACAAACAAACAAAAAAAACCCACTGCTTCACTTGACTAGCCTTAAAAAAAAAAAAAAAAAAAAAAAGATTGTCCCTCTCCCTAAAACACTCATTTGGCCCAGGTTGAGGTCTGTGACTCCAGTTGGCTAGACAGTGCCAGAGAGGAATTGGTTGTCTCAGGAAAGCCCCTCACAAATGGCAAGGCATATTTGATGACTGTGGTTACAGGGCAAGAGGCCACCATGCAGCCCCCACCCCTGACTTGCTGGAACTTGTGACTGTCAAAGCTCCATAATAAATTACATGCACCTGGGACAAGAATGGTTCTTTCTAGGACACTTGGTCAGCCAGTCAGACGCTGCAGGGTCATGAGTTCCATGCCCAGCCCACCTCTGTCCAGGAGGCAGAGGACAGACATGCGAGGGCAGGAAGCCCAGCCCCTCAGGTTCCAGGCCAGCTCTGTCTTGAAGACCAGGTGCCGTAGGGCAAAGTGCTGTGCCTCTGTGCTTCAGTTCTTCATCTATAAGACAGTGACAATGGCTAGGGGCAGGGGCATTTTGTCACCATCAGGCCAATGCCCTGTGTCTATGCCAGCTGTGGCACAGGGCAACACCTCACACTAACACCTCACATTTAGCATGGTAACTGGACCATGGAAGGTGCTCAGAAAATGCCACTCCTCTACCTTCTTAACACATTTGCGAAGTTTCAGTTCCTCTCCAAGATCCCTCTGGCCCAGTAAGGCCATTAGCTTTAAAAAAAAAAAAAAAAAAAAAAAAAGCAGACCCCTCGGGCCACTGGAGGCTTGCTGCCTCTGGCTGTTTCTCCTGCTGTCTCCACCAGCCAAATCAGACTGTAAAGCCAGAGTCTCATCACATTCATACCATGTCTGCGCCCACAGCCCTCCAAATTCTCCACTTCAAGAGCAAAGCCCAAATGATGGCCTACATGGTTCTCCATGACCTAGCCCACCTGACCTCAATGTCTTCCGCCCCTGCACAAGCCACTTCAGCCACGCCTACCACGTGCACTGCTGCCTCGAGGCCTCTGCACTAGAAAGCTGCCTGTTTCCTTTCCTCTCCACCTTCAAGTCCATGCTCAGTTTTCCCACCCACCCTATTTTAAAGCTACCACCCTCCCAGCACTGCCACTCCCCTGCTTGCTTCCATCCTTCTTCTCCATATATGAACTGCCACACTCTAGCTTATATTTGGTGTTTCCCCCACTGAATAGCTGCTCTGGGGGATAGGGAATTTTGGGCATGGCTGGCATGTAGTAGTCACCCAACAAATACCTGCTGATGAGACAATTAAGAATACTCCTAAATTTGGAGTCTCAGCCACCAGAAAATCGCCAGACCTTGTTGAACAGGGCATTTCACAGGACTGGTGTCCCATGGAACATACTTCAGTTGATCCCCTAAAACTGAGGCCCTGGCCACATCCACAGAACAGACACAGACGAGAACTTTGGAACCCCAGCCCCTCCATTCAGCAGCCAGGTGACATCTCCTGGACCATCACAACTGCTCTGAGACCTGCTTTTACCACTTAGCAAACAGCATGCAACCTCTGCCTCAGCTGCCATCAATGCTGGTTATGGGGACCAATGGGATGATGGGTGCCTGCATCGTGGCAGGTTACCAAACTTCTGCTCACCCACTGAGCTACCCCGAGGTCACCAAGGCTGCTCAAAAACTTCACAAATGTGTCAAGAAGGTAGAGGAGTGGCATTTTCTGAGCACCTTCCATGGTCTAGGTACGATGCTAAATGCTAGTCAAGGCATCACAATCCTCAGAAATGTTTTCTGGGGAAAAACAGCAGATTTCTATGAAGGAAGGGTGAAGTCAGGCTTCAGCCCCGCCACTCCATACTGCTAAGAACCTGCCCAGATCCCCCGGAATTAGGGAAGTATACGGGAAGGCCACAGGAGGAATGTGGCCAGCTTTCTACCCCACCCCCGGGCCCTGGTCAGTAAACACTGGGCACAGGGTGCCCTCCTGTAAATCCAGCTTCAGCCCTGGAGACCATTTGCGATCTTTTTTCAGAAACCTTACATATGTGGCCAGCACATGACAGCTGATCAGCCAAAGTGATCTTAAAGGTAAGAGCAGGAACATGACTACTGGGAGGCTTTTTCACGCCACCCACACATCCAACCATTGTGGGGAGCCATGATGTCACCAATGGGCATGTCAGACCCTCGGTCTGGGGAATGTTTAAAAACAAAAACAAAAAAAAACACTACTGACTGGGTGCAATGGTTCATGCCTGTAATCCCCACACTTTGGGAGGCCAAGGTGGGAGGATCGCTTGAGGCCAGGAGTTCAATTCCAGCCTGGTCAACATGGCAAGATCCTGTCTGCATAAAAAAAATTAATTAGGTGGGCATGGTGGGGTGCACCTGTAGTCCCAGCTACTTGGGAGGCTGAGGCAGGAGGATCTTGTGAGCCCAGGGGTTGAGACTGCACTGAGCTGTGTTTGTGCTACTGCTCACAAACTACTGGGCGACAGTGTGGGATCCTGACTCAAAAAACAAAAACCAATTAAATGAAATTTAAAATGAAGGCTATCTGCTAGAACCATCAGGTGGGAGAAGGGGTTAGAATTATGCTCCATCAGCCACATTCAAAGCACCATAACAAGCAGTTCTGCTGCTGAAGAGTCTGGCCCACTGCTCCCTGTCTGTGTATATGGGGTACACACATCCAGTGCCTGGCAGAGGAAAGGACCGCCTTCCTAAACCATGCTTCTCCTTCCCCTTTTTCAGTCATGCAGTAGCATACTAAGTACCTGCACCCTTTAATCTCGCTCTACATGCTGAGAACCTCTATGTGAAGCTTCATGAAAAATTCTGGTTCCTCTGAAAAAGAAAGCCTCATTTCTTAGTCTTTCTTAGTTTTTAAACAAGCTCTCAGGTCGTCTGCTGACTTAAGGCTGCAGATACTGACAAGTCAGGTGACTGCACACAGGCACACCCAGCACCGTGCTCAAGACGCTTCCCAACTGGCCAATGTCATAAAGAGAATGAGAAGCAAAGCGTGTCTCTTGTTCTGCATTATTTATTTCTTAAGTTAAGAGTACACATTGAGTCCAGCGAGAATACAGTGGCACACAGCTGTGCCTATCATTAGCTCACATTAAGAAAATGACTTCATACTGCCCTTTCCACTGTGGTAACACCATCCTGGAAGAAAAACGTACCCTTGAGTCAAAGCTGTCTGTCTATGAGAGGGTTTTAGAGGAAGCTTCCCCAAAAGATTCTTTGTTCTTTTCAAGTGACCCCTTGATGCAAGGAGTGTTTCCCAGCCCCAGAAAGAGCAAGCGCAGCCAGAGGCATGGGGATTTTAACATCACACTTCAGAGACAGACATCTTGGTGTTTCATGTGACACCAAACTGACCCTCTCTTTTGGATGACGAGGACCAGCCACAGTTGGCACTGAGAATCCCCTCAACTCAGGGCAGTACAGAGATTTTGTCTCTGGTTTCATAGCTTAATGGCAAGCAACAACCTTAGGTTCCCAGCACCAAGTGTCCGAATCCTAGCTAAAATCCTCTCTTCATGCTCAGTAAGTCCAGGTGGCATACTTTATAACGGTCTAGGCATCCAAGGGAAAGCGACAGGCAACACACTAGCATCTGCAATGACACGAGGTAGTTGAGAAACAGGTGACCAATGGGGCACTCTGCAGCCCCACCCACCATCGGTTCCCATCCCAATGTTCTGCTGCATCTCAACAACTGCAAGGAGAGTGTCACAAAACAGGCAAACAGCACGGAGGAGCCAGTACACATGATGGGACATGCAAGTGACAAGTTTCCCAAATACCTGTCCCCATAATAAAATAATCTTAATAAAAACATAATTTAAAGAAAGTGTCAAAAGCCAAGTGTAACGTCAGAGCTGTAAACTCTACCGAAGTTTGAAGAGTCTCTTGAAGTATCATCCCTGTTTAAAAGAAAAAAAAAAATGAATTACATGATATATATTAAAGTAGAAAAGTTAGAATTTCTAATCAGCTGCCATGGGAAACTAAGCCTGTTTTTCATGGCAGAACAATAGAAGAAGCCTAATATGAATAATTAGAAGCTAAATTTATAATTCCTACAGAATCAGACATTTTCAAGACCTCACGCATCGACTTCTATATCCACCCCTATGCAAGCAATCCTTCTCCACAGCACCCAGCCTCTTAACAGTGCCACTAACAGACAATTCTCCACTTGCAGTCAGAAATCCCATATGACTAACCCAATATCTACCTCCTTCACTGTTAACATTTCTTTTTATATCAGTTCCTTAGACTGTGAAACAGCCTATAGCAAACTCCCGGGTCAGGGATTAATGAGTCCATCTGTGTTAAATGCTTACCTAGCACACAGGCCCTCTTCCTGATACTAACTTCTCATGCCTACCCACCAACTACTTAGGTTATCACAGGACACGGGGCCAACCAACCAAGGCCAGGAGGGGAAACAGCTGTGATCAGCAGGTCAGACCGGCACTGGCCCAGCTCCAGAGGCCCACTGGTGATTAATACTTGGTGTGCAGGATTCAGGAGCTCCCCTTGCCCAGGCCTCAGGGCAGGAGGAGTGGGACCACATCCACACCCCTGGTTCTCCTTCCAGATACCAGATTTCTGATGGACACCCCCTTATTTGATACCTCACCAGCAGAATGTGTACTTCTGCCAACACAATCCATGCAGTTATCTTTCCTTTTCGAGATGGAGTCTCATCACCCAGGCTGGAGTGCAGCGGCGCAATCTCAGCTCACTGTAACCTCCACCTCCCGGGTTCAAGTGATTCTCCTGGCTCAGCCACCTGAGTATCTGGGATTACCGGCATGTGCCGCCACACACAGCTAATTTTTGTAGAGATAGAGTTTTACCGTGTCAGCCAGGTGGTCTTGATCTCCTGATCTCATCATCCGCCTACCTCAGCCTTCCAAAGTGTGGGATTATAGGCGTGAGCCACTGCGCCCAGCCCAACGCAGTTATCTTAAAGGATATTTATGATTCACAGCAGTGCCCACAGTTATTACACTTTATGAACCTCAATCCCTGTCACTAAAGACAAACATTCGATGTCTGTTTGACAATTGTTCTGATGTGGAAGGAATTCCAGAATAAGCAGCAATCCACAGAAACTATTCTCTAACCAGTGTCAGCTTTAAAGTACTTCCTGATGAAAACCTGAGGCTCTGCAAAAATGACAAATGCCATTGTCACACCTGTCCCTTCCCTCAAGATCTCCAAATGTATAACTACATCAAACAGTAGGGTGACCCCCCAGAACTGGTCAGATTGGCACCAGAATGAAGTAATCAGTAATGAGACAACTGCCCAGTGACCGTGTCTCCCCAAGCTGTAGTCCCCAGGGCAGGACTGGGAGGTGCACTGCAACCTGGAGGAAGGAATGCCCATGTGATACCCACACTGACCTCACCACTTCCTTTTTCTTCTCTCTCCACCTATGGATTACATTCAAGGCCACACCACTTTCATTCTCTGGCAGATAAAAATTTTCAGCCTTAAACTTTCATGATATTCTTCAATTGCAGTGTGTTATCACCTTTTTTTAAAAAAAAAACTAAAACTTTAAAATACCACTTACGCTATAAGATCAGTCATGATTTATTGACGGAAACTTCAGATCAGTAATCTCAGAGTCAGGGGAGCTGCTTCCACTTCTGTCACTATAGGTGTCCCTGTAGAATTCAGATGGTTTATTCATCGTCTCCCACCAAAAACTCACTTTACATCCCTGTTTTTGTAGCCACGGTTCCTACAGGAACACTTGTCTGCACACGGCAGAAATCAGACAGTTTGCTACATAATATATTTAGCAAGATGCTGCAGAAGGATTTCCTTCTTCTAGCTACGAAAGATAAACATTCCATTTATACTTCAGTCACATACCCTACCAACAACTCTGAGTACTGGTTCTGGATAAAGGTCACAACAGGGCATAAACCTACCCAGGTTGTGGCTTACTTCCCAGGAAAACGAGTTCCTCTTAACATGGGCCAGAGGGTCCTATGCCAAGTGTGATCCACTCAGCACCACCAGATCTTAGATGCTGCGGAAAGGGGGACCTGGCCAATATGCTGGAGAAGCACTGTGAGAAGCACTGGGAAAGGAGAGGAACTTTCATCCCAGGCACTTACGGCTTTTTTTTCTTATGACTGACTGATGTGTTGCTGTAATCAATCAGTGATCATCTAAAGGTCTAGAGAAGACGAATGGATTACTGAAGCAAAGAGTGTGCCTACCTGGGCGACAGCCTGCAGCCTTTCTGGAGGTAATGTGGGAGTCGCCCCACAGAGGCCAGGAGGAGGCCAAAGTATGGTGGGGAGGGCTTGATAGGTCTGGACAGGAACTCAGGGTGGTACTGAACCCCAACAAAAAAGGGATGATCTGAAATAGATTCAAAAGAAAACAGCCTCATTGTGAAGGTTATGCACAAAGTGTACAAGAACAAAATCTAGTTAAATGTTTCATGTTTCCAAAGGCCCTAAAATAATCTGAAAATTATTTTCTCATTTGAATCTAGGTAAAGGTAACCTCAAAGCATGTGTGATCTGACACCCTCTCTCCAGCACTGCTTGTGCTCTCCCCTCCTGGCTGAAGGCCTCTGTCCAGGATCCCACCCAAGACCCTGGCTCCTAGGACTTCTGTAGACTCATGCGGTTCAGGTTAGGGCTGAAGCAGCTTTAGTACCAAGTCCAAGCATTTTAGAGGAGGAGAAACTGCAGCCAGAAGTTAAATGGCTCCCTGAGGAAGGCCATGGACCAGAAATAACTCTCCAGGGTCCAGACCTCTCGTTTATCAAGATTCCTTCCCTCACCAGACTTCAGTGCTGCTTCCTAATTCTGTTAGGTCAGGAGTAACAAGATCACGTTTATAGTTTCCCATATGCCAAGAAAACTTTACTAAGTTTTCCATTAAATACAACTGCCCGAGTAATCACCTTCCAACTCCACAATTTCCATTCTCTCTCCTTCAACATCTTGGCCAACGAACTTCAGGCCTTGTTCTTCCAAACACTTCTTCAAGACTGGATTCACCTGTTGAGGCATGAAAAATAATTCTGCTGGTCTCTCAGCTCACTAGCTTTCCAGAGTACCAAGAGCAAGCTGGAAACCTTACCTCAAATCGGTGGCGGTGCCTCTCTTCCAAGTAGTCTGCATCTCCATACAGTTTCCCTGGCAAGACAAACGGGCTGGATGTAGAGAATTCTGATCTCACAGGATGATGCACCACAAAGGCATCCTGCTTCCCGCTTTACTTTTCATCATCTATGTTGCCAGGTCTTTAGAGGGCTGTTTCTATAAATCTGCTAAGGTCACCTGCTCTTAACAGCACAGTTTAGACTAATTCTTGGGCTTCTGACTCTTTCTGACAACACTAAAGAAAACCGTAACAGAAACAGACTCTTACTACCCCTTCAAACACATGATTGCAAAGTATGGGCACTGTGCTGCTAGAAAACTGTCTTGGAAAACCAATCAGGATGTATGAAACGGCAAGGCTCTGGGAACACGGGGGACAGGAGGCATTTTAAGAACTACAGAGATGACCTCGGATGACCGTGCAGTCATCAAAGGTCATCAGCCCCCAGTGGTTGCATGGGAAACAAGCAGGGCATTTGCGAATGGGCTGCTTTACTGACTCACTTCATGGGTGCCTCAAGATCCCTAAGTCCACAGAACATTAGAGTTGAGAAGAGAAAGATCCCACACTCAAGTGACTCCAACTATGCTACTACAGAACACGGGTAGAGACACAAGGGCGCTTCTACTAATATAGTAAAGGGGGAATTTTCCCAGTAGACAAGAAGGAAATCTGTGTAACAGTCCCTTTCTTAAATATTTTCCTCCCAAAATTACCCTAAACCTTCAGCACCTATTAGTACTTTGTTAGAACAGAATCTGTTTAGGCTGAATCATATGAAATTGCCATTTTTATGTGACAAAAATTGCCAAATATCAGTAATTTATATGGCTGGTCTTAATAAGAAAGTAACCCATAAGGAGGAATGTAAC